GGGCTGTTGTAGGGGGTGTCGGGGACGGTGCAGGCAGGGCCGTGGGCTATGGCAGGGGCTGTTGCTGGGGCAGTGTTGGGGGCGGTTCCGGGGGTTTCTTCTACCTATCGGTGTTTTGTTGATGCTGCTTTTGCGCCGGATAGTGGTAGGGTTGCTTTTGGGTGTGCTCTATTTTCTGCGACGAACTGTTTTCTTGCTGCTATTAATGGGGAATTACTATGTTCTCCGGACCCTCTTATGGCGGAGGCTATGGCGTGTCGTGAGGCTCTATCATGGATTAAGACGCTTGATATTCATAACGTGGAGATCTTGATGGATTGTCAACGTGTGGTTTCGGCAATTTCAGATACTTCATTCTCTCTTACTTCTTATTTTGGTTCGTTAATTGTTGAGTGTAAGGCCTTGTTGGTCGGTTTTTGCTCTAGTTCCATCAGTTTTGTTCGTAGAGAGTTAAACGTTGTTGCTCATTCTCTTGCGAGAAGAGCAGAGACCCGTCGTTCTGTTTGGGTTTCTACTCCCCCGGATTTTGTAATCCCTCTTTTACGATAATGAAGTTTCTTTACTTTCAAAAAAAAAGAAGAAGAAGCATATTCTAGTGTTATATGTCCACGTACTCACCTTTGGTTTAATAAGATAGAACCTCGTTCAACCGATCATTAAAGGGGGTCGCACCGTCACTGCCAATTTTGCAATAGCTACTATCCAATCGTATTCTTCACTTCCCAGAGGTCGTCAAGGTACTCATGTAACTATCCGGGTCCCGCCTCGTTCCCCAAATCAGCCCGGACATCGCTGGTCTTCACCACCACACCCGGAGGTCGCCGGATTAAGAAAGAGCCACATCGGGTCTACTCGTTGCCGTAGCTGAAGGAATTGGCCAGAGCAGAGAGAGGGGTCAGTCGTGCTCGCCGCTGTCTGGACCCGTCGCCAGAAGGAAGTTGCCAATCGTCGCTGCACTTCGCCGTAGTTCCAGTCTCTACCATCTTTGTCTTTTCTAGCATCCGAGTTCTTCACTGGAAGGGGGGAATCTTTGTTGCACCCTCGCTGGTTTCTCCAGTCCCTGCCGTCGCCGCTGGCTCACCAATTCGAAGGAGGAGGCTGGAGATTGTTTAATAGGAGAAAAATTCCATTCTCTCTCCGTTCTTTGCTCATGTCTGGTCGAAGAAAAAAGAACGGCGGTGATGGATTGGTCGGCGAGGAAGAAGAGACGCAAGGGACGGCGATCGCGTGCGAGAGAGGAGCTGCGCGTGAAAGTTTATACTCCCTCCTCTGCCTATTTCTTTTTTCCCCCAGCACTATTCCAACTTCACGGGAATTTATATTTATTTGTGTTTTTCATGGCCTATATGATAAAATAAAATATTCTTGTCACCACTTGTTTTGTTGAACTTTTGATGTAGTTTTTAAATATGTATGTTTTATTTTTTATTTCTATACCAATATTCAAATAAAATAGATTGAAAAAACTAAGGATTTTTCTTCGTTTTGTGCAACAAGAAGAAAGATATAGGACGGAGGGAGTATTTATATGCCTAGGGTTTTGTGTTTCGAGATTTCAAATAACCTGTATGAGTAAAAACACATTTTTCGGGCCAACTTACTCCGAATTGATACTCGTTCGCGTTGTTGGATTGGATTCGTTGATCCCTACCCAATGATATAACTTTTATATCATTTAACAAGTATTTACCGGTTCTATCTGGTCCGTCTGAATTCTTTCGATTAATGAATACAGATTAGTCTTTTAATTTAAATCTTTACAATTATCATCAGATTAGTTTTGTTATATTGAGATTATTAGAATCTCTAAAATATCTACTAATTCTTTAAAAGAATAGATTGTTCTCAATTAATAATTTTTATTTATTTAATTATCGATTAACTTCTAAGCCGGTTTTCAGGGCGTTACAGTTGTAGTACTCCTAATGGGACTTGATGTTTGGCCTTAACTTATTGACAAGTTAAACATCTCGTTCTATACTCTGTGATGTCACGCTTCATGCCTTGCCACCAGTACTGTTGTTTCAAGTCTTGGTATATTTTTTTACTACTAGGATGCATAGTGTAAATAGTATTGTGTGCTTCTTGCATAATTTTAGTCCGAATGTCTCCTTCAGGTACAACTAATCTTGACTGATAGTATAGTCCTCCATTTGATTGAATAGAGAATTCTTGTTTCTCACCATTAGAAACAAGCTCAGGTGTCTCTTTGCAAAATTGATCTTGAGTTTGCCTTATAAGGATTTCAGTTTCTAATGTTGATTGAACATGAAGTTCAGCCAATGTCTTTCTGCTTAAGGCATTAGCCACAACATTAGCCTTGTCAGGGTGATAGTCGATGACACAATCATAGTCTTTGATTAATTCTAACCACCTTCGTTGTCTCAAATTGATATCTTTTTGTGTGAGAAGGTATTTCAGGCATTTATGATCAGTGTAGATGTATTTCTTTTTGCCATATAGATAGTGACGCCAAATTTTTAACGCCAAAATCACTGCCGCTAGTTCCAAATCATGTGTGGGATAATTCTTTTCATGTTCTTTCAATTGCCTTGACGCATAAGCTATTACCTTCCCTTCTTGCATTAACACACATCCTAGCCCATTATGAGATGCGTCACTATAAATGACGTAGGGGAAGAACTAAAACTGGAGCTTGTGTGAGTGTAGTCTTCAGTTCCTCGGAGCTTTTCTGGCAACCTTTGGTTTTTCTTCAACAACTTGTGCAAGGGCGATGCTTTTATTGAAAAGCCAGGGACAAACCTATGATAGTAACCTGCTAAAGTAAGAAAACTTCTTACTTCTCGAACATTACGCGGAGCTTTCCATTTAGTAATTGCGACAATCTTTGTGAGATCTACACAAATTCCTTCATCTGAGATAATATGTCCAATAAAAACTACTTCTTTCAACCAAAATTCGCACTTGGATAACTTAGCATATAATTGATTTTCCCTTAGAATCTGGAGTACGACCTTAAGGTGTTTTTCATGCTCTTTAACATTTTTTGAGTAGAGCAATATGTTGTCGATGAAGACAACAACATATTGATCTAGGTAGGGACAAAATATTCGGTTCATTAGATCCATGGAAGCTGCAGGTGCATTGGTTAATCTAAAAGGCATTACCGTAAACTCGTAATGTCCATAACAAGTCTTGAAAGCAGTTTTTGGAATGTCATCAGCTTTAACTAGAAGTTTATGATGTGCAGACCTTAAATCCGTCTTTGAGAAGACACTTGCTCCACGTAACTGATTAAACAAGGCATCAATTCGTGGTAATGGGTACCGATTCTTAATAGTTAACTTGTTGAGTTGGTAATCCACACATAATCGCAATGAGACATCCTTCTTTTTAACAAATAATACATGTGCTCCCCAGGGTGATAGTGTTGGACAATGTGCTATCATGAATATATATTTTTGCAATGTCCTTTGCCCATTGTCTTTTAGGTTTTGATAATGACAAAAGGGTGACAAAACATCATCATCATATTGTGCATCAAGGCTAAGAATCAAAGCTACAACAAGTTCATATCTGTCCGTGAAGAAGGGACTTGAGCATCGGTGGAAGGAACGAGACCGAAGAGGTTGTTTCCTTAGTTGGGTAGTGTTTTAGGTCTTAAATTTTGTGTTAAAGAGTATGGAATCTCTAAGGTTCATTCTCTTATCATCCTACCTTTAAAACACATTTTTTTCTAGCAAACTGTTCGAATAAATTGAAAACTATTCGAATAAATCCCTGAAATTCTATTCTGACTTAGTTGAATAAATCCAGAACTAGTTGAATAAGTCAGATTGCAGTTTCACCAAAACTAGTCGACTAAGTCTTGATTTAGTCGAACAGTTTGACAGTTTCAACTACCAAACGGCTAGTTTTTTGAATGCTTTTCATCCCTATCCACTCCCTAACTTCTATAAACTCCCTATCTCGTGTTTTTGGCCAAGAATATACATTGAAAACACTTCAAGAACATATTCTTTGAATATCCAAAGAGATTCTACTCAATCCCCTTCTTATATCCAAGCAAGGCAATTGTTTTGATTGCTAAATCATTTCTTGCTTGAGTTTTTCCTCATTGCTTGAGTCTTTGAGAGATATTGCCATATTCTAAAGGGCTTCATTGTATTTGCAACAATCTACTCCGTGTTGGGAGAATTACTTGGTTGCGGTTTGTTTTCTTACTTTATTGTAAGGGATTTGTATTCTTGGTGTTGGGATTACACCAAGTGGTAGAAATCTTAACGGTTTGTGAAATCAAACGTTACGTGGAAGAAATCCTGAGTTTTGTGAAATCAAAACTTCGGTGGTAAGATAAGAGGCTAGTGAAATCAAGTTCTCGAGTTGTATTCAGATTGTCAAACTCCATTAAGTTTGACGGGTTAGTGAAGGCCTGGACACGATTGCTTCGGGGACTGGATGTAGGCATTTAGGCCGAACCAGTATATATCGTGTGTGCATTGCTCTTATCCTTCACTTTATTTAATTTGTGGTGCATTGTTTTTATTGAATATTCGTGAAGAACGTTTCCGCGAAAAAAACTGGTCTTTTGGACAACACCTCTATTCACCCCCCCTCTAGAGGTGTGCGAGGTGTCTAACAGATAGATTTGGCCTAATGAACCCCTTGGTCTAATGACATATATATATATATATATATATATATATATATATATATATATATATATATATATATATATATATATAGGGGCCAGTTCCCGTGAGAATGGACCTTGTGGAGAGAAATGAGAATAAAATCTAGCCGTCGGATCTGATGCATCGTGCGGCTCAGATTGCATCCTGCGCTCAGATTTTGAGATAGTGCATTTTCGAAGGTTTATGATGAATTTCAACGTGATGCATTTTCGCACCATTTTGGTGCATCTAATTTTGATGAAATCTTGACCCTTAGATCTCACAATCTAAAGCACCAGATTCATTCTCATTTCTCTCCTAAGATTGCATTCTAACCAGAACCAATATATATATATATATATATATATATATATATATATATATATATATATATATATATATATATATATATATATATATATATATATATATATATATATATATATATATATATATATATATATATATATATATATATATATATATATATATATATATATATATAGGGGCCGGTTCCCGTGAGAATGCACCTTGTGGAGAGAAATGAGAATAAAATCTAGCCGTCGGATCTGATGCATCGTGCGGCTCAGATTGCATCCTGCGCTCAGATTTTGAGATAGTGCATTTTCGAAGGTTTATGATGCATTTCAACGTGATGCATTTTCGCACCATTTTGGTGCATCTAATTTTGATGAAATCTTGACCCTTAGATCTCACAATCTAAAGCTATATATATATATATATATATATATATATATATATATATATATATATATATATATATATAGAGTACATAATTGTACATCCACCAATATTTCAGGTGGCATAAATCATGCTTCAAAGTATGCAACTCAGCTTATCAGAGATCGTAATGACTTCAAATCGAAGGATAGGTATACTGATGGTCGCATGAGAATAATATTAACACTTTAACTTAAACCCATATATTATTCTCATAGCGGGTCAATCCAGCAACATATCCAATATGTTTGCCTACGTATAGATTTAGATAACACTTTATCTATAGCCTATGAGACACAGCTATCTCACCTCATATGTATTAGTCTTGATATATTATGATATCATTATTGTCATAATATTCGACTAAGGATATTTTAGACGTAGCCTATATCTCTGTAACAGCTTCATAATCGGAACGTTGTAGTTCTCATCTATATTATTAGAGCGCCTACTCTAAGAACTAAGCTATGTTTAAATGACACGAGTCGACTTAAACAATCTTTAGTTCCTATTGTTCTTGATATAATATAGATATGCAATCATAAATTGGCCTCTAGGGCTCACTTATATTCAACAGCTATCACATTGAAACCATGACAGAAAATCAAAAGGAATACTTGTGTCTAACGACAATCAAATCTGGCACTAAAATTCTTTGTGAAAAGATTTCAGCGTATTCCTCGGGGCTATATTATGCTCACATTATCTTTTCTTGATTCAAGAACAAATGTATGCGAACAAGAAGTGCAAAAGATAATTCATCTACAAAATGTTGCAAATCAATTGTCTGGCGCATTCACAGACTC